CCATGCCGATACCGCTACACGCTCTGGGCCCCTGGCGACCCCACCGCTTTTCCCCTCTTGCTCCCCGCGCCCCCGCTGCCCGCCCTGGACCCGCTGTCGCAGGTGCAACGGTACCACCACCCCAGCTGTGAGGCCGCCGTCAACACCCACATCACCCTGGAGCTCCATGCCTCCTACGTGTACCTGTCCATGGCCTCCTGCTTTGACGAGGACGACTCGGCCCTGGAGCACTTTGACTGCTACTTCCTGCGCCAGTCGCAGGAGAAAAGGGAGCACGCCCAAGAGCTGATGAGGCTGCACAACCCGCGCGGTGGCCGCATCTGCCTTCACGACATCAGGAAGCCAGAGCGCCAAGGCTGGGAGAGCGGGCTGGAGGCCATGGAGTGTGCCTTCCACCTGGAGAAGAACATCAACCAGAGTCTCCTGGAGCTGCACCAGCTGGCCAAGCAGAACGGCGATCCCCACCTGTGCAACTTTCTGGAGAACCACTTCCTGAACCAGCAGGCCAAGACCATCAAAGAGCTGGGTGGCTACCTGAGCAACCTGCGCAAGATGGGGGCCCCGGCAGCAGGCCTGGCAGAGTACCTCTTTGACAAGCTCACCCTGGGCCGCAGCGAGAAAGACACTTGAGCCCAGAGGGGCCCCGCAGCCACGGGGTGCCTTCCCCGGGTACGGCCACCAGGCGGGGCATCCATGTTGCCCTTTCAGAACGTTCTCTTCAGTTTTCTCCTCTCAGTTTTCCCGCTGTTGGCAATAAAGTTATGTATTCTCAAAGCAATAAAGGTATCCAGCTGACGCGTGTCTGCAACACTCGCACCTTTTAGGAATCAGGGCACATCCCCATGCAGGTTTAAAGTAGGTATCCAGCAGTCTCTCCACTCAGCTCTGTCCCATCTGCATGCAGCTCAGGATCTGCGGGGGTGGAGGGAAAAGATATTCTATGGGTCCCTGGAAAACACATTAGTCTTCCCCTTATAAACTCTGAGGGCAAGTGGGATGGGGTGGGGTGAGGTGGGGTAGGGTGGGGTGAGATGGGTGGGGTGGATGGGGTCGGGTGGGGTGTGCAGTCTTGGGCCATGGTATCTGTGGGTGCGTATGCATGGTAAGGTGTAAAGCATGGTGTGGAATTCATCCTAGTGGTTGCCTCTGGAGAAAAAGGGAAGGGAATGAGATTGGGCGGGGATAAAAATAATATAGTCTTTAACTTGACATGAAAAGTCATATTTTTAAAACATGCAAGTACTAGGAATTCTTGCTTCTGGGAAGCAAGATGGGGGCTCTGGCGGACAGTATGGCAGAGTACCTCTTTGGCAAGCTCACCTTGAGTGACATGGATAATGGGACTGAGCCTTAGGCTGCCTTCCCCACAGATAGGGGGTGATTTCCTGCATATTGCCCTTCAATTGTACCATTTCTCTCATTAAAGCTGGTTAAAAAAAAAAAAAAAAAAAAAAAAAACAGCTCAAAAGAAGGACTGAAAAACATAAGGTCAAAGCTGAAGGTCAAATTTGTAATATTGAATATAGA